GCGATTAAGGTGTTCTGTTGTTGGATGTAATAATGAACATAACAGTCATCATTTACTCCTGACATCTGAGCCGCTGAAGACGCAGTGGATTACTTTTGTTTGTGAAGGGAATTCGCCCGTCTGCCTAAATGCGTTTATGTTCGTGCGAATCATTCGTGATCCAGCTTCACTTACAGCAGAAGTGATTAGGTGCGTTCGACTTCATGTGGCGCCGCGCAAACCGATCGGTGGCTGACTTGAAGCAGTGCATGCCGGTTAGAAATTTTGTCCGACTTGAACCGGCGCCGACGCTACGTCACTGTCACGTGTGGCATCAAAGTACCGCGATATCGTTTCGAGAGCAGCCGGCTGACTCAGCTGGCGCAGCTTTTTCAGAGCGACTGCAGGAGCGCTGATGACGACACAGCTGTTTCACGATTGGCCGAATTCACCACATGACAACAATGACGTGTGTTTCTAACATCTTCAAATCCAATACTGCTCATAAATCTGTTTTTAGAACATTAAAAGCTTTTTTACTGTAGTCGCAATGTTATATTGAGTCACGTTTATCATGAAAGCATATATACCCCCACTTTATTAGTATTTAAATAGTATATATTTATGTTGAACTTTATTCTTGAACAGATGGCGCTGAATTAAGCAGTATATAAAAAGTGTTTCTGTTGCTCATGAAAACGTTTCTGAAACGTCTGTGTATTTGACAAATATTGCATTTAATTCACTTCATCTGTGATAGAGTATGCAAACACCGCGTTAGCGTCACTAACGGGAGCAGAAAGTGTCCGGCTTGACGGCTCCGTTTTCAACTCCGCCCCTGACTGCAAGCGGCTACTCTCGTTGACTGCCGTCTGTAGCGGTGCTTCAAGTCGAACGCACCTATCATAATAACGTGCTACTTAGCAAGTTTCGCGGCTAAAGTAAACAGTCTCTCAGAGCACGGTTTGTCACCCCACAGAAGAGAGGGGCGGGGCGAGCAGAGCTCATTAGCATTTAAAGCAACATGCAAAACACAGGTTGATTTCTGCAGAGCTGATTTTGACAAGGTAAAAAGGGTGTTTTTTACACTACCACTGAGAAATTTTAACCAAAGTATGTTACAGGCTTTTCATTAAGACCCTAAAGAATCAAACTTGTGGAAAATGGGCATCCGATGACCCCTATAAAATACAAATCTTGTGTAATCCCAGGCTATCTGTAACCAGATGCACATTTAAAGCTGGAATATAATTTAATTTCAGTCACATGTGTTTCATAAACACAATCCTTTCTGGATTACAATACGCCATCAAAATGCAGGGCTCGACATTAACACTTGTCTGCTTGTCTGGGACAAGTGAACGTTTTAGACGGGCAAGTGAAAGAGAAATTTACTTGCCCAATCGGACAAGTAACTTGAAAATGTCAATACCAAAAACAATAATAACTGCCTTTATTTGTGATATAGCCTTTTTATAGGGGTGTGTGATATATATCATTTGCGATAATATTGTAATTGTTGTTTTAACAATGTGCGATTTGACATTATCGAGTATATTGCAAAAATCTAACAAAACACACCTACAGAGTGCACGCATACATTAGGCCTACGTAAAGAAGTCTAGTAGGTTAGACTAGTGCATGTGTGTGTTCTTTCACTGCATGATTCAGTATTAAAATACATGAAGAATGATCAGAAAATTCAAGATATATGCATATATATCAGAAAATGTATATATTTATATCATTTCATATAGTTAAACAATATCACACAAAGATCGAGTGCCGTTTTTTTGCTCCAAAAATCAGCATGATTACAAATGTGATTTTACACAACAAGAAGTTAATATTAAGAGACTTGCGTTTTAGACACCATATTGCCTGTTTTTGCTCTATTTCGCCAACAGAAATAATTCCAAACACAGCCACAGCACTGTTTTGCGTCTCTGAGCAACATGACGGTGTTTCGTTCTTGAATTAATCAACCATTTAAATGATTCGGTTCAGTCGCAATGACTCGCTTATTAGCAGTGACTTGATGCCACCTACTGGCGGTTTTAATTTCACATTCAAAGTATTTTTATTTATTTATTTTTTATAATTTCAAATATCAGTATTTAACGTTTTATGTATCAAAACATTATTTATTCATTTGTAACTGCAGGTTAAAGCATTCCATGTCCCTCAGAGCTGCATTAAACAGTGGGTAAATACAGGTGCATCTCAATAAATTAGAATGTATATCTATTCCACTTCAGATGCAGCTTCTGTGTTTCCTCTGCATTGCAAAGATGAATTTTGTTGATACTGATTTCACTTTATTATTTTGTTTATTTTATTTAAAAAGAAAAATTTAACTAAATAAACTAAATGTGCCATGCTCACAAAATCTACTACATATACTCTATAAACACTATACTATGTTTTGTATAATTACAATAAATAATTATATTTATAACTCAATTTAAATGTATTTTTTTCTCTCGGGCAAGTAACTTTTATACTTGGACAAGTAAATGACAAATTTACTTGTCCGAAGAACAACCACATGAGAATGCTTAATGTCAAGCCCTGAAAATGCTAAGTTTACCAGCTGCTGTGAGAAAAAGCTATAAACGACCCATCACCTGCAGCATACTCGCATGTGATATAGCCCATTAGCTGGGACAACTTCTTTATGTTTACAGACGTGACGTAATGATGTGGCAGCATGCTCGAATGTCCCGCAAACTCCTACCAGTACCACTCAAAATATAAACATTATTATAAGCTTAAGTAAGGTGACAGTTTTGAACACTGGCTGGTTATGTACTTGCTCAAATATTGATTTCGGATAATTTTTAACCAAAAAAAGTTACGGACTGCAGCTTTAAAGTACTAAAGGGGTGTAGGGGTATAACCCCGGCATCCTGGCTAAATTCACCCATTGGCCTCTGGCCATCATGGCCTCCTAACCATCCCCATATCTACTGATTGGCTTCATCACTCTGTCTCCTCTCCACCAATAAGCTGGTGTGTGGTGGGCGTTCTGGCGCAATATGGCTGCCTTCGCATCATCCAGGTGGATGCTGCAAACTGGTGGTGGTTGAGGAGATTCCCCCCTTCTATGTAAAGTGCTTTGAGGGCCCAGAAAAGCGCTATATAAATGTAAGGAATTATTACTAATCACTTTTCAGGGCTCGCAAAATCGCTAGCCTGACATCCCGAGGTTATTGTGTTTTCCAGTCGGGCTACCAAAATGTATCACCACTCTGCCCGACGGGCTATCTTAAATGCAGATCTCCCGCGGGTCCTTAAAAACTCCTAAAGTGAGTTGTATCAAACTTAAGGCCATAAAAAGTTTTAAATATGTTAAATGGTATAAGAAATGTCTTAATTATAATTTCAAGTGGTCTTACAGTTGGGGACGGAAAGACAAGAGTCGCGATACGGCCGGATTAAACTTCAAAAGGCAATGATGCCATTGAATAAATATAAGCGCTGCACGTTTCAAGTCAAAACGCGGCGCGGATGTCTTTATTTGAATGTATCTGAAGGGAACTGACTGTCCTCAGAAGCGTGTCGTTGGCCTTTTAATTTCATTTTACCTATAATTCCTGATAAACAGCGTTTATGAGCGCGGAGCTGCTTTGTGTACAGCCGTTACCGGGGAAACCGCAATATTTCAGCGCTCCTAAAGCGCCACCTCATGGCAGAGAATGAATTTGCATTTCCAACAAGCCTTTCTTTGTGATTATGGTCAGATCAATGCAAATATCAACTCATGTTTTTACGCAGCAAACACATAGGAGTTGTAAATGAGAAAGAAGTTAATGTGCCTCCTAAAAATCTAAACAATTAAGACAGTAATATTTATACGTTTTAAATTGACAATTTATATGCTTGATTTATCCCTTTTCATAAAAATGGTCTAAAGGCTGAAATGCAGTTGAATAAGATTTTTGTTTTTGTGAAAACCTGTATCTGAACTGTAAATCATGTAATTTTATGGCTCAGTACTGTATGTTACCACAGACATTGTCCAACCCCACTCATACGGTTCATTTTACTTGTGCAGCTCTTAAAATGGGTCATAAATTGAATTAAATTTATTTGTAACAATTCTGCAGATACCCTGTAAATAGTGAAATAAAATTCCTTCCTTCATAGTTGTTGATATTTGTGTACTGAAAATATTTTTTATTGACATTTAAAATTCCTATCTGATTTTCTATATTTAAAAAAAAAAAAATCTTTTTTTATTTGGGCTAGTTTAATTAATTTTCGGGCTACCAAATTCTTAAGAGTACCTGCCCGAAGGGCTACCAGGGATTTTGACATTTTGCAAGCCCTGCTTTTACAAAGTTTGCCAGGTTAGTGACCTCAAAACATCTACATATCAACATATACCCGACCAGAAAGTTATTTCTGTCTTGTTTCTACATTTGAACTAACAGAAATTCAAGTCACAGTGGGTGGGTTGTTGGTAAGAATCTCGGTCACAGTCACGGTCACATTAGACTGAGCATGCGAAATTTCCTTGAATGCTGCTTCGGTCGTAATATGACGTTATGCTCTGCAGCATCTTTTTAAAAACTTTAATTCAACACAACACATAATAATACATCTAAAATGTAAAAACATACAATCTACTCCACTTTCCTGCAGCGCTGCAGTTTTCAATTTATGTTCTTTTAATTCAGCTACGAGGTTATGCTGTGACGTATCGATCTGCTGTTGGTTACACGGTTTCACCTGATGTGAATTCGCAGGTCAGAGTTCACACCAAGCATGTACTTTGCAACGCAGCGAAATACGAAACTTTTCGCATGGGTTTTGCATTTCCGGTCTGACTCATTTGCAAGCGTTTGAATGGAAGTCAATGGAAAGAAAAGTGCAGGGTGAACGCCCCTTTTAGTCGCAAAGTTGACCGGCCTTTATGCTGAGTTGTGAGATTACATATTTATTTTCTAAAAAGTTAGCATAGCAAGTTAATAATCAAAGTCACAAAATGAAAGACAAAAATACAAAGCCTGGAGGTCTTACCCCATCCAATGCCTCCTCAAAGCAGTAGAGCCAGTACTCCCATCCAATGCCTCCTCAAAGCAGTAGAGCCAGTGCTCCCGAGCCAATGCATCCTCAGTCAGGTCCACCGTGTCTGGAATATAAGAGGTCGGGTCCTGCAGCAGGGGGAGGTTGACTAGCTGCCTCTCCAGACGGTCCATCTCCAACATGTCAAACTGGAGACAATGAATAAAGAAAAGTAAGTACCCACAACGCATTGAATGGCAATTTGTGCATTCATCTGCACAGGAAAAGCTATAATTCCCCAGCAGACATTTGATGATACCAAGAAGAGGTTAAAAAAATAAAACAGGCATACAAACCTAACTTAAGAGTTCACTCAGGATATAAATATTCATTCTTTCCTATAGAATGCTGAAGTGATACATTTTTGTAGACCAACCCAGAAGTTATTCATTACCTTGGATCCCTTGACAAAAACCCAACACATTTACATTTATTAATTTAGCAGACGCTTTTGTCCACAGTAATAATGAAATGAGAAATACAACAAGCGATTCATCATAAGTAATAAATACGAGAAGTGCTAGTAATACATTTCTGACATTGTACAGAAAAGTATCAGATAGAACAGTGTGGAATTAAGGAAAAGAGCAAGCAGAGAGTTTTTTTTTTTGCAGGATGCAATTAGGTGCTCACAGAAGAATTTTCAGCTGTCTCTTAAATATTGTCAGGGATTCTGTGTGCCAGATGGAGACCAACAAGAAAAAAAGAAAAAAAAAACGTTTTGGAAAGTGATTTTGTTCCTCACTGTGATGGTACCATGAGGTGTTGCTCACTTACAGATCTCAAGCTTCTGAAGGGGATGTAGCCTCATTAGAGTGAATGAAGGTAGGAGGATGTAGAGCCCTTGGCTGTTCTGTATGCAAGCATCAATGTCTTGAACCTGATGCGAGCCGCATCCAGTAGTCAGTGCAGAGAGATCATGCTGCTGCGTTCTGAATCATCTATAGTGGTTTGATTGTACATGTTGGACATGTTGCCAGAAAGTTGTTCAGCATGCTCCGTTGAGAAGGGCCTGATCTTCCTGACGTTGTGCAATGCAAACCTGCATGATTGTGCCGTCTCTGCAATGTGATCTTTAAAAGGTCAGATGGTCATCAAAGAATACCCCAAGACTTCTGACTGATCTTTATGGTATTATTGTTGATAAACCTAGCCTAGCTGTATGGTGAAATTAAAATATACAGTCAAAGTGGCAAGGATAATAAGAAGATCTGTCTTTGCCAGGTTGAGCAGGAGGTGATGTTCTTTCAACCAAGATGTCCACCAGGCAGTCAGAGATCCGTACAGCTACCATTAGATCATCTGGTTGAAATGAAAAATAGAACAGAGCAATGGCACAAGAAACCATGTGCCTGTATGATGGGTCCCAGTGCTGTAGTGTATAGGCAGAACAGGAGGAGTCCAAGAACTGACCCTTGAGGAACCCTGCCCTGAGCCCTGAGTTTTCTCTATAAATGGGGGGAGCAAGACAGGTCTGCAACTGTCTATAAGTATAGTGTTTAGTGTAGTTTTTTTAAGCAGTGGGGTTACCCGAATCTGCTTGAACATGGTGGGGAAAGTGCCTGTGTGGAGAGATGTGTTGATGTGTGCGAGTGCTGGTAAAAGTGTAGGAGAAATGGCTTATAGAGGGGTGTGAGGGGACAGGGGCTAGAGAGTAGGTGGTAGAATGACTGCAGAGGAGAATTTTAGATACTTTTGACTAGATTTTGAAGAGATTGTTGCATCTGAAACGCTGTTAATCTTGTAGAAATAAGAAGTTTTGGCAGTGTGGACCATAACAGAAAAAGATGAAAACAGAGACTGATACATACTCAGGTCAGCTGGATCTTTTGATTTGTATCATTTTCTCTCTGCAGCCCTGAGTTTGGACCGGTGTTCATGGAGAACATCGGATAACCAGGGATTAGAGGGGGTAGTACACGCGGCCTGGAGGAGAGAGGACAGATATCGCCTAGACAGGAAGTTAAAGTGATGATATAGTCTGTAGCACTTTTCACATCCAGTGGTGAGAATTGGGTGGGAGACGGAAGAGAGGATGAGCGTAGGTTTTGTCTGAATACAACTGGCAGGGGGTTGGTGGCAACATAAGAAGTAAGTTGAAATTAAAAGTAATAAAGACATGATCAGAAATGTGTTTTGCCAAAACGTTTTCTGTGACACAGCTGGATGTGTAAATGAGGCTGAGCTGGTTGCCAGATTTTTCAATTCCCGTGGTGGTGAGCCATTTAAAATTGAATGAGGATGGAAGAAAGTTGAATTCTGCAACCTAAGGCTTCTCCAGATGGATGCTGAAGTCACCAGCGACTACAAGTGGGCTGCCATCCTCAGGGAATAAGGACAGCAGCACATCCAGATCCCCTAAAAAGGTGCCCAATTGACCTGGAAGGCAATAAATTACTACAATATGGAGTTTTACAGAGAGTGTTACAGTAACTAGGGCTGGGCGATATGGGAAAAAATTAATATCTCTGTATTTTTTGGCCAATTTGCGATATACGGTATATATCTCGGTATTTTCATTTTTGGATTTGGATTTTTTAAAAATCTGTATTTAATATAATATATGTGTTGTCCAATGTTGTCCAGTGTTGTCCAACAAAACAATACATATTAAAGGCTATGAAAACAAATAAAGTGAATGTAACCTTGTAAGCCTTTATATTATGTGCAAAAAAGGGTTAAAATCACATTTCATTCTAACATTGTAACACTGCAATCTAAAAACCAAAAAAAGGCTTTTAAAGCAGAAGTTAAATTCACTAAAATAAAGATGAAAATAAATAAGAACAAAAGCACAGAGTTGTGTTAGGCTATTTTGATTACCCCATTACAGTCACTTTACAGTTAGTGCTATCATAAAAATAGACTTACTTGTAGGTTTAAAATTCTACATGTCACATTTATTGTCCAACTACAAATATTTCAGCGAAATGTATATTTTAGTCAGAATTTTTGCGCTCATATTTAATTGAGCTCTGTCTGTTTGGCGCACATGCGCGTGGCGGTGCTCATTCACTGAAGTCTGACAGCAAAATGGAAATATTAACATGACTTTCTAACATTTACAGATGGAGAATATACCTGTGAAATGTAAGTTATGCATTAAGGGAAACAGCACATCTCAAACACATTAAACAACGCGAGTAGCCTAGTGTCTCTGTCAGCAGTCTCTGTCATGCAGCCTTTTTGTCAGAGCATATGACGGGCCGAGCCACTTAACTATGCGAAACTATAAACTATACTATGTCTTACCAGTTTTAAAAGGCCTTAATATAAAGCTTGTCACATATTTAGAACAAATTGTATTATACACTTTCTCCGCAGCAGCTCAGTCTGTGTCCTCTGCTATATTTTTCAGATGCGCTCGAATCAAACTACTGTATATCGATATAAACGGTATTGCCTCATATCGTATCGCTTATAAAGAAAATATCGATATATCGTACAAACTCGATATACCGCCAGCCCTACCAGCAACAGCATGAAATTTAAAAGAATTATTATTGCAAAAAGATGGGTAAGTTTTGGCCTACGAAAACACGTCATCTCCGCAGCACTCTATTCACCACCCAAACCAACCATTATTTGTGGCTATAGCCCAAAAGGGCCATTCACACTGATGCAACAGGGTGACCGTGATTTCACCAAGTACAACGTGTTCCTGGATCAACATCCTTGTTGATCCTGGAACAACATTCCAATTAACCAATCAGAATTGAGGGATAACTTTCAGGAAATATCTGTTTTAGGCTTACGATCAGGATTAGGTGCTTCTACACCCTTGTTAATCAGCTATCATTTCACACTGATTTTAGGAATAAATTATGGGTAGGGTTAGGTTTAGGGGTAGGGATTGGGTTTAGTCTATATTTTTGGACAGTAATGTTGATCCAGGAACATGTCTTACTTGGCAAAATCACGGCAACCAATGCAACAGTATCCAACTGCAGAACTACAGGGCTGCTAAATGGACAAGGCGGCAGTGTCTTGAGACACATCTTTCAGAGCTAAACTTCTTTTAAATTTAGACAGTATTTATGTGGCGTTCATGTGTGAGACACTGAAAAAACAATGACAAGCGGTGCAACAGTTAAAGATGTCTGTTTAGCGCATGTTTGCATTGGAAAACAAGTAAAAAGCAGCGCAGTGGAACACAACAACATGTTCTGTGTAAAGGGGCCCTAACAGTGCAATCAAAACGCTACCTTTATGACAAATTTCCCACAGCAGCAACTGTCAAACATACCAGACAGTGAGTTCTCATCTACAACTAGATAATTTGCACCGTTTACACTCATGAGAAATAAGTGCATCACACTGAATAATATCCATGGCAACTTCACATTCATAATGATACAAAAACCTTCTGCTACCAGAGATTACTTTTTTTTTTTTCCCCCCAAAGGAAAGAGCATGCAGAGAAAACCACAAGAAAACCTGGATGGAAATGTACTTACTGGAAACTGAAGGGAAAATATTAGGGTATAGATAGAGAAGATGGATGAATGAATGGACGGATGGAGAAGAGGAAAAGAAAAGAAAAAAGAAAAGAGATGAAATAAGAACATTTCAGAGAACATAAAATAGGTCATGAAAGATAAGTAGCATGCATTTCATTTGGCCAAATCCATAAATATAATGCATTTAGAATTCAACTCCAAGTACAATCTACTTTGGCTTTCAAAAAAGATATGCAAAAAAAAAACAAAAAAACACTGCAACAGCAAATTTACTCGAGGCCTCATCTTTTGTGCAAATTACCGTTCCACTACGAGCCCTCTGCACAGGATTCAGCTCTGGAGACACACTCATGAGACCAGAGCTGCCAGCATAGTTCTCTCCCCAGCTGTACTGGTTAGGATCTAACACAAAGAAATAAGTAGGTTAAACAAAATACACTCACTACAGCAAATACTAAAGTTTGATTGTGTACACAACAATAGCTTACTGTCTTCTTCTGCCCCCTTCAAAAAGGCCCCAATAGCACCAAGATATCCTTCATGTCTTAGAAATAAAGCCTGGACCTCCCCCTACAAATAAAAACACAATTCTTTATCCAAAATGCTCACATAACACAGCAATATGTAATAAGATTTATATCCTGAGAACGTAAGCAGGGGATAACATACTGTCATTGTTATTACTGTATTACGCATGAAGAAAGAGAATTAGGTGATAGGAAATCGAGTGCCTGGGGCAATGATAAATAAAAAATATTTGACAGAATTTGACAATATTAATCATTGTATCAAACACTCACGTAATCATTATTGATACAGAATTATAATTAAGAAAAAAGGTTGGAGACCTTAGTGAAGAAATTGATGCTATAGGTGATGGTGTGCATGGTAACGGGATGTCCTCGAATGAAAAATCCTCCAAAATAGACCCTGGTAAGGTTGTGCAGTTTGGCATAGAGGCAGGCAAGCTGTCCAATGTCATTGCTTATCATGTGCAGTAGGCTCTTCGCCATGTCTTCTTTGGAGAACTCTGAGAAATATACAACAAAATGCCCAAGTAAGTGAGATCTGCTATGTAAACTATTCTTTGAATTCATGGTGCAAAACGGTGCAGATGTTACTTAGTAAAACTGCAACTCTGTTACACTTTCCTCATGTATGCCTTTGTGAAACCAAAGACCTTTGGCTTCATTTCACATTAATAACACTGCAAACTAGGTGAAGGGTCAAATGACTCTTCCTGGGTGAGGAAAACAGGCCATACAATAAACTGCCTCATGTTACAATCAAACCACTTTTGTATTTATTCTTCTGCTTTACCTTTGTCTGTGGTGGCTGATTTCCCAAAGCTACTTGCAATGAGGTCTCCAGTTAAACCCAGGGACCCGTAAGCACCTCCATAGATGTCTTTAACAAGCATATCCACATTTGTGTGTTGTCCTTTGGATGCTAACTGCAAAAGCTCATCAAACCTCTAAGAAAGAGAATGGGAAGGGATAAAAAAAAAATTAAGTGAATTTTAAAAAAATAAAGAAAAAACAAAAATGTAGAAATTCCTAGTAATACTTCACATAATGAACCACCTTGGTTTTTGTAAGTAAAGCTCCAAGACCCCAAAAAGTGCCACCACCTATAGAACTGCCACCAATACGCTCAAATTTGTCCTCTGCTTCAACCTTCAAAAACAGGACATAGGTGCTTTCTTTAGAAAGTCTGCAAACTCAGGATTTGTTTTGTTTTGTGTGTATAATACAACAGAGGCATCTAGATCCAGTGCAGTACAGATATACCTTTACTATTGAGACTCCAGATCCAATATTTATAAGCAGGTAAGGGAAGATGTCCGGATGTGTATTCTGGAACCGGAATTCAGAATCAGCATGTTTGGCATACACAAAAGCTTCATGGGGGATATTCTTCAGAACAAAGTTGCATCCCTTAATCAGACAAGTCATTTCATCTTCTTTGTCCACTCTAAGAGACAAAAAAATACAATTGAATTACCATTACAACAAATCCTTGAACTCCAAGCATGTCTGTATCATTCTCAGTAAGCTATAAAATTTCACTTACTTTAGCTTTAACTTCTTCTCTATCAGGTCCTTGAACTTGTATGCCCCTCCACCAGTTGCTTTGATGACTTTGGTTTCTGTGTTGACCAGGTGGTCTTTAATGAAATCTAGGCAGGTTTCAATGTAAGCATTCTCAAACTTGATAAAGTGAAGACGGGCAGTGATCTCTTCCTGTACAGATATCTCATAAAGAGGGTCACCTTCTGTTTCCTAGAATGAAGTAACATGAAAAAATATACAATTAAATAATTATAAAACTTTTAACTAATGTTAATGCAAAGAAGCTTAATATAAAGTAACATCCATTAAACCTTTTAATTATATAAAATGTTCTTTACACAAAGGATTTTTTTTATGAACTCTTCACTGTTCTTTGGGAAACCCATATCTAGGGCTGCACGATAAATCACATGTCCACTGTCATGTGCATCTTGTCAGTAAAGCCGGTTCTGTGATTAGTAGTAAATCTCCATCACGTGCTTTCAGATGGAGCGGCATTCAATACACAGAGCCGCAGTTCACTGACAAGCTACGCAATATCGCGTTCATAATCGCAGATGAATCGCATTAGATTATGAACGCGATACTGCGTAGCTTGTCAGTGAACTATGGCTCTGTGTAGTAAATGCCGCTCCATCTAAAAGCACGTGATGGAGATTTACTACTAATCACAGAACCAATCACATGACAATCGCATGTGATTTATCGTGCAGCCCTACCCAAAACAGTTCCTCTATGGCATTGCTTTTAAATTTTAAAATTACCATTAATTCATGACCATCTGAACACTGTGCAGTCAAAAAGGGACTGCAATACATCCTTCAACACCTTGATAGACTGGGATCATATGCCATTAACATCGTCTATAACAGTTAATGACCACTATGCTCTTTTACTTTTTATTGTGAGAAATTCTGTTGTGAAATACATAATAAAAATGTACATAATACACATACTTACATGATGTATTTCCTGTATTTGGCCCAAGTGTTTAAGTGGTCGTGAAGACCGCAAGTGTGTGTAGGACTTTTAATGAATCAATGGGACACACTTACAACGTAGTATTGTAAAAATGCAAGCAAAGTTGATAGTTTATTTTTTTTACACATTGTGTATATGTAATACTTTGCACTTTAAAATAAAAATCTAAATTTCTGTTCATTAGTAAATGGCCCTATGAATGACCCAATTTAATTGTGGTGCTTCTAATCAAGCGATAAAAAGCAGCTGAAATGTTTTACATAATACACATACACATCTTTGTTACAATAAATTGTGCAACACTACATTTTTACACAAATTATATGTGATATCTAATTAAATTAATTACACCGCAAAGTTTTCCTCAACATTTCACTCTTTTGGGGCTTGTGAGTTCCTGAACATGATGAATGACGGGATACCACACCGAAGCTGTATTAGAGATAGTGTGGATTTTGAGTGCATTAACGGCACTGAGTGTTGCCATTTTTATTTTTATTTTTTGTCATGTGCATGCTTTCTTAATTGTGCCAAGACTGCAAGTGTAGGTATTGGGACAGGCCCATAAACTCTTTTGGAGTGGACTTTGTGCTTTGTAACTTTGCAGATCTTTTTCATGCAAAAAACAGCAACTTTATACACTAAAGGAAGTTGAAAATGTACACAAGAATAATAGGAGTCTTTTAAATCTAACAAGATGTAATATTTGTTTTGTTTTACTTTTTGTATAGTACATGAAACACACACACTTCCTGTTTGTTGCTGCCGTGTGTTTTGAGTTTGAGCTCCGTCAAGTTAATTCTTTGTCGTCTAATTTTTTATCTTAAAATCAATTCTATACACCATCATTTTCGTTTCTATAACGTGTGAATATATCCCCTATCGTATTCTACAACAAAAACAATCAGAGCGCCTCGTTATCACTAGTTCTATTTTTGACTTCCCGAGTCCGCTATTAGCATATAGCCCGCTAGCACGCCAGCGTGGTTGCCGCTAATATCGCTTACGTTACTAATACACTATTCACTGTTACTTGCTTTAATGGCGGATGTGGGTTTTTTCTCCATTCTGTCACCGATGGAGTTTTGGTTCCTTGCCGCTGTCGCCTCTGGCTTGCTTAGTTGGGGACACTTCATTTCCAGCGATACCGTTGACTTGATTGCAAAGATACTATTTAAACTGAGCTGGATGTTGACATCACTGAATTCAATGATGAACTGTCTTTAACTGAAAAATTTGTGTTTACTATTGTCATTTTGCATTATTGACACTATTTTCCTAATTAATGCTGTTCAGTTGCTTTGACACAATCTGTATTGTTAAAAGCGCTATATAAATAAAGGTGACTTAAAGGTGACATGACTTTCTCATCAGATTTTCTGACACTGCCTCCCTTGTCTCCAAAAAGGGCCCCTGATGTTATGTGTAATCATGGAGTGAAAAAGTCTTACCTGCAAGCTTACCTTCGCTGAATGATCAAACGACCTGACTTTGGCAACTTTATGCTGGACAGTGGAGTAATATGCCAGTTTTGTCAAAGAGCCACCTGTCAGATAAGATGAGGTAAATTGTTTCTTTATTCAATGTTCATATACATTTAACATTCTCTTATACGATTACTATTATGTTATTAAAATATTACATCAGGTTGTTTAGGTTCATTAAAACATATGACATGTTTGCACTTGCAGCCCAGTAGTACAAAAAAAACCTGTCCTCGTTCCGCTCCGCTATATTTATCTAATGAAGGTTATTCAGTGGATATTTACAGCCTCAAAGTCTTCATAAATAATGTTAGTGTTGTTATTCCTCACATGTATTGAACAAACTGTCAGATTAGCAGCACGCGCTAACAAATTTGAACGCAGCCCTGCCCAACAAACTCCACAAGTGACTGTAACGTTAACGTTACTACGTTTGAGAAAAAACAAGGGTACGAGTTTGCATGTGATAATACCTATATCTATAGCGAACCTCTTGGCGTTCTCTAAATTGCGGAAAATTTCATCTGGGGGGAGTGTGATGCTCTTATCCATGCTGTGGGATCCTCTGTCCGCCCCGCCAGACAGCGCCATCTTACTGCGATTGTTTTGCAAACTACTACGCAACGTGAATGACGCATCAAAGCGCAGAGTTAGGGCGAAATTTTACAGTAAAAGTCCCATTCCTACGCAGTACAAAATAGAATAGAATATAATATTTTATTTAAACTATTTTATAAAAAAACTATATTTGCTTTTCAGTCGGAATCAAGTAAACCACCAACATCAAGACCTTCATTAAATGATAAGCTTTATAGATTTCTGAGAATAAAATGGGAACTACCGTATTTAATATTAAAAAAACACTAGCATTAAAATGATCAGATTCCTATTTCGACTTTTTCTATTAACACTTTTATAGTATGTCTTATTATAAAATTATATTTATATAATTTATATAACACTATATAACACTACAAAAATCTTATTATTAATAAATATTTCATTGTAGTTTCACTTGTTATTTACATTATAGACTTGGTTTGTGACCCTAGCTGCATCTGCAAATTATTAATTAAACTTTCTCTTAGATGATGACAATTTGCTGCAAAAAAATAAATAAATCAAAATAAACCTCTGTAATATTGAGACAAACTGACATTAATGTCATTCAGTGATTTAAAAATCTTTAGTAAAAACAACCAGGTGAAACATAATTTCACTGTGTAAACATGCTAAACGTTAAAAAGACAAATCAGATTGCATTTGCTGTTTAATGGCATATGGACGTTTTCATCAGGTTGCTGATTAGGGGACCATCTCTGTGTCCTAATGTTCATACTATCCATCCTAAATAGTATGTGAAATTAGAAATAGTATGTCCCAAAGCGTAGTATGTTGAAAAGAGAATGCCAAAAGACTCCGGATGGATGATTCGATTCAGAACTCCAACACGAATTAAAAGCGTTAAAAACTACAAACATGGCGGATGTGCGACCGGTGTAGATAAAGGGGTTTGAGTAATAACTTTGAATACCCTTAAAGGGACTTTGGTAATATTCCAAATTTAACCTGGTAAAAAAAAAGGCCAGTTTACAGACTATAGAATACTAAAGTGTGTATGTTTATCGTAAGCAAAATTGTATTCTCTTATCTAACTCTGATGCTTTCAAATATTGTTGCCTAATAATAAAAAAAAAAAATACATCTTTTAAATTCCTTTTCACAGTGTTTGTTTATTCACAATTAATTTTATTTTTCTTATGTTTAGAAATCAGATTCTTCTTTTCATTATCATATTTGGGACCGATCATCACAAGTTCTACTGTCCCATTGTCTATTTCCCTATGTCATGTTTCCCTATTCTGCACAGTGTACTATTAAGAGATGTATGTTCAAATCTAAATTTTGAGTTTATGGTTTCTTTTCTTTTATTCCTAAACCTGCATTTCTTTGAATGTCATAAAACCATCTACCGGTTCTATCCTCCTTCAATTGTTTTTGATCGTTATTTGTTGTTTATTTATACTATTTGTTTCCGTCTTCCTATATATTTAACATTGATGTTCATATCTCTTTTGTATATATTTTTATATACCATAAAAATGCTAAACTTTATTCCATCATCTGAATCCTGTAAAACATTTGTAGTGTTTTAATCAAGATGTCTGCTCTACTTTCAGTATGTTCCCATGGGTTGTCGTTATGATAGCATAACCCTAACCCTGGGAACATCGTGTTTATGATTGCCATATAAATATAGGGAACATAGGATCCTGGGACCATAGGTCCCTTTTTCATGTCTTCATCATGTGTAAATGTGGGGAACATGGAAACATAGGAATGACCAGTTTCTGAAAAGTGGGCTTTATGTACTGAATGCAGGCAGATATATGCGATGGCCTTGATGGATAATGGACTGGCTGTGCCTTGTCAAGTCATGTCACCTTTATTTATATAGCGCTTTATACAATACTGTGTCAAAGCAGCTTTACAGTGTCAACTGGAAATAATGCACAAGGAAAATGACAAATAGTCATTTTTACAGCTCAAGTCAGTTCATTGATGATTCAGTGATGTCATTGTCAACATTGGGTTGAAACAACCCAGCATTTTTTAGAGTGTAAGCAAGCCAAAGGCGACAGTGGCAAGGAACCAAAACTCAATCTGTGACAGAATGGAGAAAAAAACTTGGGAGAAACCAGGTTCAGTCAGGGGGCTTTGTCAGTAGAGAAGAGTTACATTTACATTTTGATTAAAGGTCTGTTTTCAATGACATGAATATGTATGTATATATATATATATATATATATATATATATGGCTCATCAACCATAACTCCTTCAAAAACAGCTAGAAACCTTGGAGTTGTGATTGATGATAAGCTGAATTTCTCAG